TCATTGATTTCGATTAAATCAATCTTTGAAATTGACTCTTTGCTTTCTAGTTGATCCCCGGCTGAGATTTTAGCCCTTTCAGCTGTGAAATTGAACATCTGTTCTTCAAGCTGTATATCAATTTCGAATTGATGATATGTTGCCTCCAGTCTATGACATAAGCAAATTCAAATCAATTCTAGTGATTTTCTTTAATGGAGAATAATTTTGAAATTGAAAAAGAAAAAACTTTGCGTACCGTTCCTTTGACGTCTTCAAAAAGTAGTTCTTGAAATTAGAATCAAATGACAGACCGTCGCGCTTGAAGGTCAACCTTATCTTGCTCAAAGTGTGGATGGCTTCGCGATCAAACTTGGCGAGCATTTGGTTCATCTCATTTTTCCAGTACATTGTTGTTGTTGCATTCATCTAATTTAGAAGTAAATTAACAATTCCAAATCAATCAAATAAATGTTAATTATTCAGTTGAGAGATAAATTATGTTTTCAATTGTGCATGGAAAGCCTATGACATAGTATCAGAACTCGGCCACGTGATCAATCTTCTAGAATAAATTATTTTTAAGGTTAAGAATTTTACCATATCAGACACTTTCCTGATTTTACGGTAAAACGTTGATTTTTTATTTCAACAAACACACACATACACATCATGGAATACTAGTTCCTTAAATTAAGAGTTTTGTTTCATTACCATTGGAAATCTTACCTTCATAAAGTTGCGATAATTCTGGATCTATTGTATCACTTGTTGTTGTTGTTTTGATCTTGTTTTACTATGTAAGCTTTATGGTGCAAGACTTATTTGGCGTTTAGATTGGTACCAAAGTCTAATTTTCACGATTTTTATTCTTGATATTTATATAAATGAAATTTATTGTAATTAAGCAAGATCAAAATGAAAACAGGCGTTGTACATGCTAAGCGTGCTTTGCGGAAATGAAATAAAATTATAATTAGTGGTAGAAGCCGAGACGAGATGTCAAAATGGGTTTCGCCATATTCAAATCGCTTTTTGGCGAATTCAGTTCTTCGCTTCAAAAATAAGAATTTTCGCAAAACTTTGAATTTAAAATTCAGACAGTTGATGGGATTCAACGATGCTGAGATACATGGAATGGTCCAATTTAATAAAGTTTTGAAAATAGATTTGTAAATATAGTTTATTTATAGCAAAACTGAAATTATTTTGAATACATTCAGTAGTTTGGATTAAATAATATTTGATAAAGCGGAATGGTTTAATCCATTTCGGTGTTGAACTTATATTTGAATTGATATTTGTATATTAGTATTGAATCAAATTGGTTTTGGTGCATGTTTGTTATAGAAGCTTATTGTTAAACAGTTTTCTAATAGATTTTTTACTCGATTTTGGAAATATTTTAGAGATGGATGTAATTATTCAATGGTTGATTCGGGTGTGAATGTTGTGCAAATGTTTTTTTAGACTACTTTTTTGAGTGAAACGCAGCATACAAATCTCGCATCGAAACGGTTTTTCACCGTTGTGCGTTCGCATATGCAATTTCAACTGAGTTATACCCACAGTGACAAATTTCTTGCAGATATGGCATTCATATCGACGATTTTTGCACACTTTTTCATGGACGTCTCTTTCGGTCTTCTGAGAAAATCCACTGAAACAACCTCGGCAATGAAACGGGATCTGTTCGATATGATTCACTTTGTGCTTCTTCATGTTTTGTAGGATTTTGTATCCTTTGTGGCAAATGTCACATTGATATGGCCTCTCGCCGGTGTGAGTACGCTTGTGTTGCTTGAGGTTTCCCGGCTGGTTGCTCGAATATTCACAAAGTTGGCACTTAAATCGCTTCTTAATTTCCATCTGGTTTGATGAAATTGATTGCCGCATTTTATTCTTCAATATCTTTACCCCTTCACTTCTGGTTTCATCTCGTCGTTCGTTGGAAGCAATTTCACTTGAATCAACAACTAAATTGTCGTCAACAGTGAGGTTGGATTTGTTAATTATGAAGGGGCCACCGTATGTTCCTGTTGATGTGTCAATTGAACTTGTGCTCTCTGTTTTAATGCGACTGAAGAAAGGAGAGAAGAATTAGAATTGAATTTATGTGGAAACATTCATACAAATGTTTGAACTCAATCTTACTGATCAAAAATTGGGATATTTCCAAAATTGGCGATTTGATTTGTTTCAGCTAAAGTCCTTTGCATAGGGATTCTGGATACTCGACTTTCACCCAACATCGATCGAGTGTTGCTTCCGGAACTGATTATTGCTCGATGTTGATTAGTCTGCTGGCGATTGGCTGCCACAGTTTGGAAAAAATTATCAAAGGCACTTGATTCAGTCTGGCGGCCATCAAAGAATGAACTTATTTCCTTATCGAATCGTCGTCTTTTGATTGTTGTTGAGCCAATGCGAGATTCATTGCGATCTTTGGTCCGTTTTGTCAACGTGCTATTTCCTATGGTTGCATGGTGCTTACGTTGAACAGAATCAAAAGCAGTACTTCCATGAAAAGACGGGTTTTTCTGCTTTCGAATCACTTGAGTCGAATTGTTCTTGGTGCTTCCTCTGGGACCTTCTTCATCGCTTGAATCATCGATTTCGATTAAATCAATCTTTGGAATTGACCCTTTGCTTTCCATTTGATGCCCTCTATCTGAGTGTTTTGCCGGAAAATCAGTAGAATTTGGCACCTTGTCTTCGAACCGTAAATCAATTTCGAATTGACGGTAGGTGGTTTTCAATCTGTTAAAATTATACATATTAGATACATTGAAACCATCGATTTATCTATGGGTTGGACACTCGGATTAGGAATCGTCGTTTGCTTTGGATTTGTAAATAATAGTCGGATTCGTCGGAATAGTGGAATTTGTTTTTTCGCGTGATACACTTCGTGTTTTTTTACAAAATTTGATTTAACAATTTAATGAAGCAATTTTTATTTATTGAAAACGTTGGAAATTAAATATTTTTTGTTATAATTGGTATCAAATTTATGAAATAAAATTATAATTTTAATTTATTAATTGCTTAAATAAGTTCATTTATAAAACCGTCAAAGCAGATATAAGTTCGTTGGTCGTATTTTGACAGCTTCGACCAACGAACATATATACGTATACAAAACATGTAGTTATTAAAAATTTAAATGTCAATTCTGTGTTAATTTTTATTAAATTGTGTTAGTTTTCAATTTAAATTTCTCGAAATTACAAAAAATATTGAATTTCACAAACAGAATATAAACTAGATCATTGAATTCTTTGGAATCGTCGGAATAGTGAGAATAGTAAGAATAGCGAGAATCGTGGATTTGTTGTATATTCTTCATTTGCAAACGGTGTCTAACCCCTAGCGATTTATACTATACGTACCTCTCAATTGATGTTTCCAAAAAGTAATGCTTAAAATCCGAATCAAATAA